GCATTAAAATGTTTCATGACCTCTAAATACACACACACACACACACTCACACACACTCCCTGCATCAACCTCCCTTGAATTATTTCTCATCCCTTTTACAGCTGAAGTCTTGTGGTGCATCCACTGGCTCAGTCCCTTATCTTCCATTTCTTCCTCAACCCTCTTCATCTGGCTGCCCGCCTCCCATGGCCCTGCAGTGGTTCTGAACAAGGTCACCGAGGACTCACCCGCTCATTGCTGAGGCCTGAGGGTAACATTTGGGTCCTCATCTGACACAGACCACTCCCTCCCGTCTGACATTCCCTTTGCTTTACATCCTCTTCTTTCCTTGTCAGTTTCTTCCCTCTCCAGCTGCTCCTTTGAACCCTCCAGGGCTCACCTTTCACTGCCCACCCTTTACTGGGGGCTATGGTCCTTGGGGCTGTGTCCTGGCCCTCTGCTTGTCCCACCTGCCCTGTCTTCCTGTAGAGGTTCTAGTCCCTCAGCTCCAGTCAGAAGTGAGCACCCAACCCACTCTCCTGCCTCTTGGATTCTCACTAATACCTTTTGATCTTTCCGTGTGCAAAACAGCCTTCAGCATCCCTCCCACACACCTGAGCCTCTTTCCAGTAGACAGCCTCACTGTCCACCTGCTCCCCTGGTCAGACCTGAGTGACATTGTGGTCCTCTTGCTCTCCTGTCACCTGTTCCATCCTCAATAAGCCCTATTCATCCAGCCTGTTATGGTTCTGGGATCTGCTCCACCCCTACCCTCATGGCCTCTGCCCCTGCTCAGGCCTATCTTCTCCACACCCAGCCTCCTCTGCTGCCACCAGGGCTCGTCTTGCCCTTTTCAGCCTATCCCTCAATGTCTCAGAAGGCTTTTCAGTGCATGAGCTGATCCCGTCCCTCTCCTGCTCCAAGCCCTTCTGCATCTCCTACTGCCCTTGTTATAAGCCAAATCGCACTCCAGGCCCTTGAGGATCTGCTCCTGCTGACCACTCCAGGCCCCTCAGGACATTCCCCACTTTGCATCTAACCTTCTGGCCAGGCAGAGAGAGGCCTTGATCACTGTCCACTGGCTCTCACAGCCTTGCATATTTCTTTTGCTTAGCAAACTTGTGCTCATCCGTTAAGGTCAAGCTTGGATCACCTCCTTTGTGAAGCTCTTCTTGACTATCACAGATGGAGCCCATGACAGCCTGTGTCTGCCCCCATCTCTTCCCCCATTCTCCCTGAGTCCCTTGAGGGCAGGCCCTGGATAGAAACCATCTCTGCCCCAAACCCAGGGCCTACAAAAGGGCAAGGCTACAGTCTTGGTTGAGGGACTGAGTGACTGTCGCAGCTGGGCAGAGCTGGGGCCTCCAGAATTTTGGGTGACCAGTTTGTTTCTGGTATCCTGTTAGCTTTGCTCTAGTTCTCTAGGTTTGGGTTTCATTTGGTGGGTGCTGGGGTTGGGTTGGTAAAGGGGAGTATCTGAGAACACAGAGTGCCCTGGAGCTCTACCTGGATTAAATGTGCAGGGGAGGTGGGTCTGTTATGGGGGAGTCCTCAGGACCTGGAAGTTGGGCCCCCAGCCTTTTATTCCAGTCCCAGGTTTCTCGGTTCCCAGCCGCAGAGTTGATGCTGCCCCCTGGTGGACGATCCCACTTGCGAGAGGCCAAACTAATTAAATACTTTTATTTACAAACAAAAACAAACCGACCTGCAGGTAGGGCCAGGCCCCGCCCCTGCGGTGGTTGCAGCAGCAGAAGGCAGTGGTGGCGTGCAGGTCCAGCCGTCTAGGAGACTGGTTTGAGTGAGCCCCCTCCCCCTCCGTCGTCTCCCCACCTCACTTAAGGCACAGACCACCCCCTCCAGCCGCCCGAGGCAGGGAGGGAGCGACCGGAGCGGCCAGGAGCCCCTTGTAGTCACCGTCCTTCCCTGGGCGCATTCACCACGGAGGCCGATGCAGATGGGAACAAGAAGCCTTTAGTGTCGCCCCCCACAGCCCCCACGTCCCCACGCGGCCTGGCTCCCGCTGGTGGCTCAAACCGGCGGCAAGGAGGGCCCAGGCGGAGTGAGGATCAGGCGGATACGCTCCACGCACAGCGCTGCTGCCTGCCGCGTCTCCTGGCACACTGCTGCCAAGCTCAGGAAGCCATGTGGCAGGTCCTCCACAACGCGCAGCGTCACAGGCTTGCCCACGTTTCGCAGCCGTCGTGCAAACATGACCGAGTCGTCCAGGATGGGGTCCAGCGCGCACGCCTACAGGACGGCGGAGATGGGGCACAGGGAAGCAGCAGATGAGCCAAAGGAAGGGGAGGGACACGTGGACATACGGAGGAGGGAGACATGATGGGGAGTTACAGAATGAGTTTAATTGGGCTCTCTGGCCTCTGCCCGTCTTTTCCTTCCCCCAGAGATCTACCATCTCTTTCCCCTTTCCCTGACTCTTCAAGCCCTGTGGTTGCTCCACAGCCCTATGGAGCTCAACAAGATTGCAAAAGAAAATGGCAGCCCTGACTCCCTTCTGCCCTCCCGTTCCAGGCACTCCCTCCTGGTGGTACACCTCTCCCCTCAGGCCAGGCCCCGCCCCAAGCTCTCTTCCCCAGGTGCACCTGCTCCCCACCCGCCCCACTTCTCACCGGTTCGTGGTCCCCATCTGGTGCTTACCACAATGTGCACTGGTGGCAGGCTCTGCAGCATGCTGTCAGGTGCCAACAGCGGTGACATGAAGGGGTTCTTGGCGATGGGCGATGAATACAGGGGCATCCGCGTGGGACCCTGGCTGGAGCGCCTGGGGTGGAAGCCCTCCGGGAAGGCGGCACTAACACTGTGGCCTCTGTTTTTGGTGTTCGACTCATCCTGGGCCTCAACCTCTTCTGGCGCACCCTCAGACCCAAGTAAGAAGTTGACGTCTGAGGGTGTGGAGGGGCCGAGTTTCTCGGCTGACAGTGACAGCTCAGAGGTGTTCGATGTTTCCGTGCTGCCCCTGAGGCTCAGGTCATGCAGTGTCAGGCTCTTGAGGGGGTCTGTGCCCAGCGGGTCCTCAGGCTGGGCCAGCGCTGCTTCAGACACGCTGCGCCGCATTGGCTCTATGAGAAGAGCAGGGTCAGGGGCTGGTGGGGGCAGATCAGCTGGGTTGGGTGTGTGTGTGGCTGGCAGGGAAGGTGATAGGAGGGGCAGAGGCCTCTGGAGGAGAAACTGCATCCTAGGAAGGGCTGTGGAGGCCTGGAGTGTTCCCCTAGACACCTTCCTTGGGGAGGGATGGGGAGCTCCCTGGTGCCCAGGAGCAACTCCAAGGCCATGTGGAAGGAGTCACGTGGTCCTGGAGGTGCAGCTGTGTTCTCATGGAGGGGTGTGGATGTGTGTGTGTGTGGTGACTGGGAAGGTTAAGAGCAAGTCATTTTTACCTCTGGGAGTCTCCGTTTCTTCATCTGTACAAAAGGGATAAAAATAGTCCTTCATAGGAGGTGCTGAGGACTCAGTGGCCTAAGATATGGGATTAGGTATTGCTACCTCCTGGGAGGTCATAATATATCAGTATTAATATTTTATTACCAGGCTTGGCACCCTGTTCCAGATGCCTATGCCTCCTGGTCCAGCATGAGGCCCAGCTAACGTATGGCCACTTGACACAGAGGGTGTGAATGGATTAAAGTGGAGTAGGGAGCTGGCCCATATGGCTTGAAAGGGAGCTAAAAAGAGTATTGGAGGCATATTAGATTCCCAGGGATCCCCTACCTGTTGTAGCCACATAGATCTGTTCCCAAAATGTCCTTTGTGTTCTTCAGTTTTATCCCTTCCCTTTGGGTGACCAGGCAAGCAAGTATCCAAATAATGCTACAGATCTGCTTCCGGCCCACCTGGTATGCCCACCTTGGCCTCAGTTCCATTAATTTTATCAGGCCCACGCTGCTTACCACTAGGACAAGGACCCTGTATTTTCCAGTTGTTTTTCACTTGTCTGTATATATCCATGAAGGCAAAATGCGAGATATGAGAATAATTGTATAAGTGCTCTGTGACCCAGGGGTTACTGGAACAGAGCTGTTGGTGAGAGTCACAGGGCACAGCCAGTCAGGGTTGCTGGCATTTTCTAAGAGCACCTACTGTGTGCCAGGTATTATGCTGGGTTCTTGGCACAAATGGGTGCATGCAGTTCTTACAACCACCTTATGAGGCAGGTACTCTTGTTGTACCCATTTCACAGAGGAGCAAAGCAAGGCTCACAGATACCATTATTTACCCACGTCACCCAGCAACCGCTAAACTAGTGTTTCTGCAGGGGGCCCTAGGGGCTTACACCTGTCTGACACCTTTAGCCTACAAGGAAACCCCAGTACTCAATCGTCTATTTGTCTAAAATTCAAATCCCTTTTGTTTTTGTATTTATTTGCATCTATTTGAATATCCTAAAATTAAAAAACTTAAAACACATCCAATTGGTATAACTTTCTGAATAATAATTTTCTGAATATTCATCTGCTTTTGAACATGCAATTCCTATTAACTCAGAAAATACTGCTGATTTGCTAGAGATAGAAAATAAGTTGAGTTGGTTGTGCTTTAAAATCCTTAAAATGTTAAAAAATGGTGGGAAAACATGGATCCTTGGATGGAAATGATTTTGGCTGCCTGAGGGTCCTGCCACCCACCCAAGGCTGGGAATCTCTTCGACTTCCTGAGGTCCACCCAGTCTGTTGATATCCCTGCCCCAGCCTCATAGGTCTGCTCCTGGAGTTGGGGTATTATCCCCATGTACCTCTGTTAAAAGTCTGGAAAGAATCTTAGAGAGCTAGATTCCCATTTGAGGGCCCAAGGGATTCTAGTAGCCTTCTCAGGACTAAAAACCAGGACATGGGCAGGCTTTTCTGAGTCATTTCCCAGGGTGCCTTTCTGGGAAAGACTGTTTGGAAAGCTAAATCTTATAGTTCCTGGGACTGGGATGAACTAGGGGACCAGAAGTCCCTGAACTTCCAGGATGTGGACTGTTGTAGAAAATCAAGGCTTTGTGACAGAGACCAGGGATAGATATGGGGCAGAACCAGGAAGCTGAGCTTTGCTTCTCTGAATGCCCCAGGGCACGGCCCCTTTCCTGCCCCAGGACTTGTGGTGTGCCAGGTTGACTCTCCTGGGCATCCCGGATGAGTGCCTGAGGGAGGGCCACACTCACCTCCCATGGACACTGATTTCAGGTGGGACTTGTGCCCGCTCAACTCCAGGAAGGAGTTGAGCCACGAGGAGGCACTCAGGCGGAGGTCCCTGAAGAGCAGGGCTGTGTCCCGCCGTACCAGCCCCATCATGCCCAGCGCCTTCTGGTCCGAGTCAGAGTGGTCCTCTGTCTCCCCACCTGCGGAGTGTATGTGGGGGCTGAGTTGATCCCTTCTCTTTCTGGGACCAACACCCAGAGCTTCAGACATCTGTGCCCCCAGGGACCCAAGAATAGCTGATCACTTCAGTAGGAGTCTTAGATTCCTCAGCCCTAGGAGACTGGGCTCTAGCCCATCCCTGCAGGCCCCAGGCATCCTGGCCCCTTAGTCCCGGCTATGGGGGTGTGGGCCTTACCCGCATAGGCACTGACGCACTTGCAGAGCACGCTGAGGGGAAGCAGGGGGTCCATGAGGCTCATAAGGCGGGAGGGAGAGGCGGTGGACTGCAGCATTGTGGCCGGGTAGGCTGCCATGATGCCATCTGGCACCCGCACCCCATAGGCTGCTGCCCGAAGGGAGACGGTGAAGCAGAGGTTCCCGCCTGCGCTGTCCCCTGCGAGGCATATCCTCTCGCCTGTCGAGCCTGGTTTGGAGGGGGGTTTGGTTATACCTGGCATGGGGGAACTCAAGCTCTGGGCCAGGAGTGCTGGGTTCTCAGAGGGAGGGTGTGGGGGCCCCAACTCCAAGGTCTAGCCAACTGCATGGTTAGACACTGGTAAACTGATGCAGGGATTTGGACCCATTTGGAAGATAGCAATCAGAGGACCAGGATGACTTAGGAGATAGAGAGGCCTGGAGATCAGGAAGCTCTGGGGAAGCTTGGGAGGCTGGAGGGTGGAAGTAAGGAGGATGGTGGGGGTTGGGGAAGAGGGGACACAGAGAGAGGGAGGGAGATGGAAGCCAGGGTTCAGGCTGTCAAGGGGCCATGGGCCCTGTGCTGTGGGGCACAGTCCCACCCTGCTCTGTGTCTCCCAAGATGTAGGAAGTGGGGGGTCAGAGGAGCTGAAAAAGTGGGCTGGAGATGTCAGGGGGTGGGGCAACAGGAAGGAAAGAAAAGGTCAGAGAAGACCACCTGAGGGTGGTGGGAGAATGGAGTGTCAGGGCTGGAGTAGGGAGCAGGAGGCAGAGGAAGTGGTTGATAGAAGGTTGGTTGGGTAAGTAGTGGGGCAATGGGGAGAGAGCGCTGAGGCAGAGATGGAGGCGTGGGCAGGAGCGGGTAGACAGGTGGCAGAGGGCTGGGTGGTAGGAGATGGAAGGGGAGGCAGGGGATGCAAGACTGAGGCTTGAGCAATGAAATGGCTCCCCTGTGGTGTGGGCTAGGGGCTGAAGCAGGCTGGGGCAGGAACGGGAGCTGGTGACAGTGAGGGCTGGGCTCACCGAGGAGGGCGCAGTGCTTCACGGCCCAGCAGTAGGCGTAGAAGCACTCCTCCAGAGCTCGGGGGAAGGGGGCCTCGGGGGCCAGGGAGTAGTCGATGGAGAGGATAGGGACGCCCAACTCCTGGGCCCAGCTCTTGAGGTAGGGCTCGTGGGACTTGGAAGTCTGGGCCACGAAGCCACCCCCGTGGAAGTGCACGATGAGGGACTGTGAGCGGGGTGCCTGCTGCGGCCGAGGCCACAGGTCTAGGCTTCTCGGACCCTCAGACTTCACCAGGCGGCTGAGCTCCTCACTGTCCTGGGGGAAAGAGAGGAGGAGGCAAAGAGGTGGGTGAGGATAGGGGGGCCTGTGTGGGCCCCCCCAAAGGGATGTACTCAGGGAGACAGAAGGGAATGGAGGATGGAAGCGAAAGAAGGGAGGCATCTGGTTGCGGGTGGGTGTTGGGGAGGGGCTGCCCATGCCCTTCACTCTGTACTTGTTCCTGGCTGAGGAAGGGGCCCTACCTGTCCTTCACGCAGGTCGTAGGAGATGAGCCTGACGAGGACTGGCCCGGGACCCGTGTGGGCCAAGGGGGGTGAGATGGTGACTGTGAGCTTGGGGTCAGCGATCAGCGGCATTTCAAAGGCCTCTGGTGGCAGGCTGAGCAGGCGGCTTACCCTCACAGTGGCCGATGCCATGTTTGCTAGAGACTGGTGGGAGAGAACAGAATGCTAGAGCATTGGGGAGGGGCGGCATACAGGGGTCCCCCTCACAACTCCCCTCAGATGCCCCTTTTTTCTCTTATGTGCCATCCCTTGGCTTGGAGCCCTGCAGAGACCTGGTGTGGCCTAGATTGGGTCTCTGGGCTTCAGTGTCCCCATCTTGTAACAGGTTGGGGGCTCTCACTGGGCCTCATGCTCACCGATAGCACCTCGATCTCAGTGATATTCCAGAAGGCTTTCCAGAAGTGCACATCCAGGTTCTGAGTGATACGCTCAAACTCGGCCCCACGCAGCTCTGGGTCGATTGCAAAGCGGCCGCTGGTGAAGAGGGAGCTGGCAGCCACACCTGGGAGTTGGGGGGAGGGGGTGTCAGGGAAACCAAGTGGGCCAGGCTGTGGGGGCAGAGTTGTGGAGGGAGGGACAGACAAGAGGGGAGGGGTGGTACGGACAGGGCCCGGCTGGCCAGGACTCACTGAGACCGGTTTCGTTGCGTTTGTAGTGCTCCCCGAAGGATACCAGCCCGATGGAGATGGTCTGCAGGAATGGCCTGATGGCGGGTGTGAACTGTGGAGAGAGGCTGCAGTTACCCACTGCCCAGAAGAGGGACTGGGGGCAGGAAGGAGTGAGGGGCAGACACTGTCATTCAGCAAACATTTAGTGGACTCCTACTGTGTGCCAGGCACATACTATATAATGCCAAGTAATAACTAATGCTTTGAAAACACAATAGGTGGAGGGGACACAGAGTGATGACTAGGGGTCAGGCTACTTAGATGGTCTCCAGGAAGGGACTTGAGAAGGGACCCGAATGGAGCGAGGCTGTTCTTGCAGAGGGCACAGCAAGTGCAAAAGCTTTGAGGCGGGCAGTGCTGAGGGTGGATAAGAAAAGCTGGGGCCAGACTGGCTGGAGCAGAGTGAGCTAGGGGACAGGGGCAGAGGGTGAGCTCAGAGATGCAAAGGAGGCTCACACAGGCCTGAGGAATTTAGATTTATTCCAACTGTGGGGTGGAGCCACTGGAGGGTTGTAAGCTGGAAGTAAGATGACACAGGGATTTCCTGAAAGTCAGTGAGGACGGCAGTGGGGACCGGGTATGGGGCAGCAGGAAGGCAGATGGGAGACGGTCAGAGATAGGGCCAGAGATCTTGAGGCAGAAAGACAGCCAAAGGGGGAGACAGCATCTGAGAGGAGCCAGGCAGCTCAGGAAAGACAATGGGGAGACAAGATCAGAGAAAAAAAGCCACCGGAGGCTGAGCATGGGGCCAGCAGCATTCTTCTGTTCATTTGGCAAATACTGGCCCAGGTCCTACTGCACACTAGGCACTGGGCTGGAGCAGGAGCTGAGCAAGACCCAGACAGGGGAGGCCTCTCCCCTCCTGCGGCTGACATGTTATGGGGGGAGGCTGTCCTGTAACAGCACAGCTAGCCCTCAGAGTTGCTGTCAGGAATGGCCCTGCCCCTGGCTGGGGGCCCAGAGAGCCAGAGAGCACAGGGGTGCCTGGCCATTGTGGCTGGATGCTGGCTGGGGTGGCTGTAGGATCTCTCTCCCGTGACTCCAAGGTCATGGCTGGGACACAGGGAGGAGCTGGCTGGCCCAGCTGGGCTGATCAATATTTGTGGGTTCAGCTCAGGAGAGGGGAAATTCCCCCAAACACCCAGGCTGGGTTGATGAGGACAGCATGTCCCACAGGGAAACACGGAAAGGTAGGGTGAGATAGAGGTTGAGAGACTGCCAAGATCAGCTAACACTGAGGTGGGGGGAGGCCCTGAGAGGATCTGAAGGGCTACAGGGTCACGCAGCTCCAGAAAGTCCTGCTGGGGTTCCCTGATGTGGCTGGGGACTGGGGGACCTGGCACTGACCCCAGACAGTGGCAATTGGGTCTCTGCTCTGAGCCTGTTCCCTCCACCCCCCAATTTTCTGAGTCACCAAGCTACTTTTCCTAGGAATCTGAAGGCCTCTAGGCTGCCTCCCTCTCAGTGCTGTGATGGGCTGTATCTCCCAGAGGGTGGTCTGGGTGGGCAGAGGGTAGGAGCTTGCAGTGGGCAGGGGTCAGGGTCCTAGTTCAAAGGAGATAGGGGTTTCAACTAGGTTTTCTTCACTATCACCAACTTGGATACATTCCTTTGCCCTCCCCCGTGAAAATCCTGATTCTACAGCTCCTTAGGTGAGTCAAAAAGCCCAGGCAGACCTGGGTCAAGTTGGGTCTCTTGAACTTCCGTAAAATGGGGTTTGCAACCTCCCACCTAGGCCTCCAGTGGGGATCACTAACGGGGTGTGCGCTTACAAATGGGCCTTTGAGAACAATACTGACTACCCTCTTAGGGGGTCTCAAACTCCAATGATTTTGGGGGCCAGACAGGTCATATAAAAGAGTGAATGGATCCCCTAAGTGTACAACGATAGACAGCAGTGGGTGCCTGGTGCAAAAAGCTATGCTAGTTAAAGATTTCTTGCTACATGGTGGATTCAGCTTGGAGGCCACACGTTTGAGGTCCCTGTGGGGCTCTGTCTGCTCTGTCTGAGCTCCAGACAGCTTCCCCTTTCCCTGTCTGCAGGTTTCTGAATCATGACCCTTGTGGTTATTCTACTATTATATTGGGCCAAGTTAGGGGTCACCTGGTACCTTCATCTGGACCCAGAGGGCCAGGGCGGGGGCTCACCTGGAAGCCCAGGCAGCGGCCATAGAAGCAGCCCTTGTGCAGAGTGACATACTCGCGCAGGAAGTCGGCGGTGATCCCCTCATCACCCTCGAAGAAGAGCTCCCCGGGCTGGTTGGTGGTCAGCAGGCGCTGGGCGTAGTAGGTCAGGGCGCGGAGCTGCGTGAGGGCAATCAGGTAGGCCTCCAGCTCTGCCAGGTTGTGGCTGGCGCGGAAGAAGATGCTGCGGCGGTTGGAGGCCACATAGCGCGACTTATGCAGCAGGTGTGCCAGGCAGCAACGGGCCGTGTGCACCAGGCTGCGGTACCCGTTGGCTGGCGTCTCTGCGTCCAGGTCAAATAGGTGCGCCACGCCCAGCAGGTGGCCCAGGGCTGGCTCCAGCCCCAGCGCCTGCTCCCGAATTCCCGCAAAGACTCTCGACAGCCGCCGTACTGTCTCCCCAGGGCCTTGGCTCAAGAAGAAGGCCATGTTGTCCTCCGCCAGCGTCACCAGTGACTGTGTCATTGTGTGTAGGTCCATGCTGTGCATGAGCCGCGAGGCTGCAGGAAGATGGAGAGGCTTATCAGGCAGGGCTGGCTCACTCCTTGCTCAGCTGGGACCCTGGGCTCCAGGAGTCCTGGCTCTATCCCCCTCCTCTCTCAGATCCAGGAATCAGAACCCAGCTTTCACCTTCGGACCCAAGGCTGGAGTCTAGGGTCCCCATCCCCTTCTTTTCTTAGGACCCATGAGCCCAGGTACCCAGACCCTGTTTCACTCCTCAGTTGCTAGGAGTTTGATCCCTCAGCCCATCCTTCCTCAGACACAGGAATCCAGGTACCTGGATTCAGGCCTCCTCTTCAGGTTCTAGGAGTCCCTGCTCTCTCCTCTACCCAGGAGTCTTCCTACCCCTTTCTATCTTTCAGGGACCCAACAGTTCAGGCATCTGTCTCCATTTACTCTCCTGGGCCCAGGACTCCTTCTAGGTTCTGGGAAATCTGGACCCCAGTTGGTACCCTCTCAGGACCCAGGAGTTCAGGCCCCCATTCTCCCTCCTTCTCAGGCCTCAGGTGTCACCCACAGGCCCTTTCCCTCAACCAATATTTGGGAGAATTCAGCCCTCAGCCCACTCATTCTCATCTACCTGATGGTGTCCCAGAACACTGATCCCAAGCACAGTTTTCCTTCTGAACCCAGGAGTTCATCATTCTAGCCTTACTTAAAACTGGAGTCACTCTTGGCCCTTCCTTGTCCCTCAAGTCTGGCTGTGGAACTCCCTCCAAACTCCAGCTTCCTCCCTCTTTCTCTGCAGGGTCCCAGAGCTTGGTTGTACTCCTCCCCGACCTGGGCCCCCTGGCCTTTGAGCCTGTCCACTTGGCTTAGATTGCACGGGCCACCCCTGCTCCCCTGCCTGGAACAGCAGTACTCATAGTCATCGCTGTCACTGACCTTGAGCTCATTCTGTGCCAGACCCTGTGCTAAGAGCTTTCTGTGTGTTTGCTCATTTGTCCTCGCTCTTTGAGACCCAGACTGCATCGGTTCATGGTTTAGCTATTAGTGGTATCATCCCATTTTACAGGAGAGGAGACTGAGGCTAAGAGGTGTTAAGTAAGGAGCTGAAGACTGCATTGAAAGCGCCAGAGCAGTATTCAAACCCAGATCTCTGGGTCCAAAGCTCTCTTCCTCCTGGGGCTCTGGAGGCTGGGCCTCGCTCTGGTTCTCAAAAACTTGCCCTGGACTAGGCCTGACTGCCCACACTCGAGTGTCCCCCTTGGTGGGGATGCTGCCCTCTGCTCCAGACTCTTCCTGCAGCCCACCCAGCACCTTGCCTGGCTCCTGGGTGGATAGTCCCACCCCCACCCCCACCCCCAGTGTCTCCTCTCCCTTCCAGGTCCTGGTGTTTGGCAGCGGCCATTCCTGTCTCCCAGCTGGCCGTGCACTCACCCCTCCAGGCCTCTTCGGAGCTTCCCCCAGGCTTGGACTGCTGGACTGTAGGACTGTGGCTCGTGCCTGGGGTGATAAATCGGGGGAAGGGCCCAGTCTGCCCAGGGTGTGGCCACTGCTGCCTGCACCTCCCACCCACAAGGGACAGTGAGAACCACGTGCTGTAAATAGAGCACAGAGCTCAACTCCCTGCCCCCCTGCCTGCTCCCAGCCCCAGCTCAACTTGGAGTCCTTGTCCTAGGCTCCTCTTACTGAGAATCCTGGCATCCCCAGCCCCCTCCTCCTTCAGACCGAAGAGCGCAAGGCCCCCAGCCTCCTTTGGACCCAGGAGTCTCAAGCCCCTGTCCTGAACGAACTCCCCTCTCACCCAGCCGGGCTGCCCTCCCGCTCTCCAGGGTGCTCTCAGGGAGCAAAAGCCCCATGACCTCAGCTCCCGCCCCTCAGGCTGGCCCTGGCACAGGCGGCCCCAGCTGTTATGGGGAGAGAGAGGGTAGCCAGCCCTGCCTGTCCCTCCTGGGAGGACAAAAGCCGATTAAGGGCAGTGCCAAGCTCGGCTAGGGGCCTGAGCCACAGGTCCTACTGTGTGGTGTTCCCACACCAGGCGCCGTATATCTGCCACTTACGCTTCACAGCCCAGCCTGCTATGACTGTCCTCCTCACATACAGAAAATCAAGGCTCCAGGAGACACTTCATTCGTGTCAATCCACGTGCACCTTGCCTAACCAGCTTTTTCATCCTTTAGGGCAGCGGTTCTCAACCTTCCTAATGCCGCGACCCCTTAATACAGTTCCTCATGTTGTGGTGACCCCCAACCATAAAATTATTTTCGTTGNAAGGCATTCTACATGCTAGGAAACTGGTCAAGTTTTTTTTAAAACCTATATTATCTTTGCTATGACTATGTCTGATTCTTTTCTATACCTGCTTTTCCCCCCCACTTAGCTCTTACCTCAGAAAAGTTTTTTGAAAGAGCAAAAGAATACAAAGTTGGGCAGTGAAGAGAGAGAGAGAGAGAGAGAGAGAGAGAGAGAGAGAGAGAGAGAGAGAGAGAGAGAGAGAGAGAGAGAGAGAGAGGTAGAGAGAGGTAGAGAGAGGTGGTGGGAAGAAGTGTGTGTAGATATAGAATCTGGATTGAGTTTGGAGTGAACAGAGTAAAGTGGGTGGGTCATCTGGATTGAATGTGAGTTGCCAGACCCCATTTGAAAGAAACGATTTTGACCTATTACGTTTAAAAATATTTATTGATTTCTGATTGCTAGTTGCGGGTTGTATTTAAGGTCAGATGGGACCAGCTAGGAAGCCGGGGTTTCCTGGTTTCTTTCAGATAATTAAGCTTACTAAGCCTGGGTAAGGAGAGGGCACGGGAAAAGACTGATAAGAGAACTCACTGGAGGGAACAATAATCAAAGTAATCGAGGAAAAAATGCCTTTTGAGAACGCGAATGATTTAGGGAGTGAGGACAGGGAGGGGGAGCCTGAGGTGGGAGAAGAACATCCTCTAGGGTGCTTACTGCCTTCTTGACTGAGAATGTTTCATTGGGGGAGTGGGCTCTCAGAGCTCCTACAGAGGCAGAGCGAAGCTTGCTAGCTGACAACGTTTGATAAATTGCTGGCAGGCTCTGGAGCGCTTGTTTGGCTTCCGGTGGTGCCTTCGGTGCCCTAGGGTGAAAATAAAGGGGAGAGACTTCTATTAAAAAACATTTTAAAAATTTATTTTTATGAGAGCTTTTAAAGTTATAAAAGTAAGACTCATCCAGTGGAAAAAAATATATATCCAGGAAAAAGTAAAAGGACACCTCCCNCGCGACCCACAGGTTGAGAACCGCTGCTTTAGGTCTTAGCCTGTCACCTCCTTTAAGAGGCATTCCCTAACTGCTCCTCCCCATCAGAGGCATGGCCCCCACCCCCAGCACTATTTTCTGCCATCATACTTAAATGTTCTTCCTAGAATTTTACACATGTACAAGTACACATTTGCTTCTTTACATGTTTGTTGTTTGTCTCCCCCGAGGGGGAGAACCAGGCTTCAGAGAGCTGATACGTGTGGAGATCGGGCTCTTTAGGAAAAAGACTATAAAAATCACAAATACAAAATTAGATATAGGGTCTTGGAAGGGGCCAATGCAAATGAGGCCTCAGTGTCATCTACTTGGCTGGAGGTGAATCCTCCTGTTTCTCCCCCTTACGTGCTGTTCCCATGAAGGCAGCGGTGGCCCCAAGGCCTAGCACATAGGGCTCAGCAAGTATTTGAAGGAGGAAGGAAAGCATGAAGAGTCAGACTGGAGGGAGAAGATGATGGATGTGACCTTGGGAGAGGACCACCCCTCCCCAGGGCAGGCGAACAGGTGGAATGAGGCCTCTAGAGGCAGCTCAAAGCTTGGTGGCTATGACAACAGAATACTAGCCCTAGCCACTTGCCAGGTGATTCTGGCTGAACCTGGTTTCCTCATCTGTAAACTGCACTTGACCATTCTGCCCACAGAGGGTGGGAACTGCATTTTGTAAATGGTGCCCCCTGGGTGACCTGTTCTGCAGCTGTTTGCTTGGTGGTTCTCCCCTGGCCTCCCTCATGTGTACTGGGTCATTTTTCTCTGGCACACATCGCCCTCTAACATACTACATAATTGATTCTGTTTGCTGTCTCCCTCACTAGGTTATAGCCTCCCCGAGGGCAGGGACTTTGTGTTTTATTGCTGTACCCCCAACCCTTGCAGTGCCTGGTGTGCGGCAGTGTGCCACAGTGTGTGGTATTTATTGCATAATGGACTGTGGTTTCCCACTTTATAAAGCCGCTATTATTTACTTCCTGTCTCTGCGGTGGGGTTCTTTATTGAAGAAGAGGATGGAGGAGACCTGGACAGAACAAGTGACTTGCATAAAGCGGTGGGGAAGAGGCTGGATCCCAGGCCTTCCTGACTCCAGGGCCCTGCCCTTTGTCCTGGTCCAGGCTGTTCCCTGGGGGCTGGGCTGGGTGGAGCTGGCAGGAAGGGATGTTGAGATTGCCAGAAACTTGCCAAGAATCCCAGGCAGAGGGCACTGGGGCAGGAGCAGGCCCACTAGGACCGTGGGCGAGGACTGGGGCAGAGGTAGGGCAGAGGGGTCCTACTGCCTGGGCACCAGCTCTTTGCCCTAAAAAGCCACTGTGCAGCTGAACCCAGCCTGGATTTTGGCCCCTGGGGACTGAGCAGGGCAGTGGGGAAGGAAGTGGGGGGAGGATGGAGGAAGGGCCAGGCATGGGGCCTCAGAAGGGCAAGGGCTTCTGATGGGGAGAGGCCTGGGAGCAGATGTAGGAGGGGGGCCAGTGAATGTAGCCCTCCCAGTGAATGTGTTCCTTGAGAAAGAGCAAACACTGATCTAATGGCTGCTGTGTGTCAGGCCCTGTTCCCTTTATGTGCTTCACGTGAAGTAACTCATTTCATCCTCCCCATGACGCATCAGGTAGGGACCATTATCACCCCTTTTGGAAGATGAGAAAACTGAGATACAGATGACATGCCGCCCATGTCATGGTGTCATAGGTCACAGAGCCAGCAAGGGTGGCATCTCTTGTCTCTGCTGTGTTTCTGTGTGTATCTAAGTGTTGCTCCTTCTCTGTCATGTCTCAGTTGTGTGCTTTCTGGGTGGTCAGGCATGAGTGTGGAGGCTCACATGCATGTACGTATGTACAGGTCACGGCCAGTGTTGGTTCTTCTCGCCTGTGTTTATGGGTGGGTGTATCGACATTTTTTTCTCCACTTGTGCGTTTTTCTGTTTCTTGGTATGTCTGAAGGTATGTTTGTATGCATGTGTCACAGCTCGTTTGTGTTTCTCAGCCTGTGAGTGTATCTGTGTTTCTATTTCTCTCAGACTATGAGATTGTGTGGGTATGTGTTTATATGAGTATGGATGTATATTTGTGCATACTACGGTCTC